TACCCTGACCTAGAAAAAGTCATTCAAGTTTGAACTTTCATTATGTATCTCCGTTCAATCTATGCAATTTTTATCTGAAAAATTTTTGTCTATAACAAGTTATAGAAGAGATATTAAAATGCATTACTTAAAATGGGACATCCTGTACATATATAAATAGTATACGTATATATGTGGATATGTCAATATGTATTTTTTAGACTTCATAAATTATTACATATTTTATTACATAATATATTATTAATTATTTTCAATATGCATAACGGAGCTTAATATCAGGCTGCTTAATCCAGACGTCGTGTTTGGTAAACACGAGTTATAAATTTGGACGACAGTCTTGGAGTTCTAGTGAGATTTGGATGATTAAAATCGACGTGGAAAAGACCAAATTTTAGTCTGGAAAACCCAAATACTCTAATTTCTTATACTATAACTCCTTATATTACGAAGTAAATTCTGTATAAATTTACATCTAGATAAAGATTACATTTGAACAACTCAATGAACTTACTGAGTACCATAATATTGTTCGACGCTATCCATCAACGTCCACAACAGGTAACCTCGAATATCGACGCCATTCCGTATGGCTTTTAATACTTCTGCGAGGTGTCCTTGCAGGTATGCTACCTTAGCTTTGTCCTCTAAGGCGGATTCAGGAAAACCATTTTCGGTAATGTAAATCGTGGGATGATAATCTTCGTTTACGCGCTGTAATACTTTCCCCAGCATTGATGGTGCATCCTAAATGCGAAAATTGTATCTTTCACATTCACAAATTCTATTTTGTTATTAACATTTTCGACTACAAAACTTCATATTTTAATCAAGTAAATGTTAAAAGGAGGCACGGTGAATAAAATAATTGCATTATACCCTGAAATATATTTGTTCTTCAACAGACTCTACTCCGGAGTCGGTATCAAAAGCCACAACATTAACATCGAAGTTGGATATTGTCTTTATTATTTCGTACGTGAAATAATTTATCCCTATGAAATCCGAAGCACCACGTATGTTGCGAATCTGCTCCTTCGTGAAACTGGGCAGACGCGACGTAAGAAATCCCTGCGCACGACTGTAATCAGCTATCACTTCTTTCATCATAGGCGGGTAGTCACCGATACTGCTGAAAATAGGATGTAGCATCCACTCGTTGAACCACATATAGTCCATATACGTAGCGTTTACGTCGCTTGGTGAAGATGGATCCTGGGGTATGCTTGGATTAAAATATAAAGTGTATCCCACTTTGCCTACGACCGACCACAAATGATTAGTTAATCACAGTATGATTAGTTAAATGTATATAATATTATTCTTTTTATATTTTCATTTTTATATAGATTTTTGGCCCAAAATGTTCCGGAAAATGTTAACATTTGAATTTCAACATTTGGAAAAAGGAAAAATGTCCCAAAACAATGTAATGTACTTCTCGGCAAAATTAAAGTATCATTTAAAATCAGCGCTAAAAAGCACCATATTTAAAACACGTAGCTTTGCGAAAAATGGTTGCATAGCGATATCCTCCTTACCGTTTTGTTTAGAACGAAATTCACGATCATATAGATGATAGACTCTCGCATGAGCCAACAAGGCGTGATGCCCGCACAAATAATCCCCGAATCCTGTTAAATTTAATTGCGGAATAAAATTGGCGCCATAACCAGCGAAGCATTGCAGATTCGGCTCGCTGATGGTTATCCAATGTTTCACCTAAATATTCGTTGTTATGCATAACGTTTCATTTAATCGTGATCTTGAAACATTTATTTGACAATCTTCATTACAATGTGCACGTCAGTAATAAAACATTATAGATTTACGTGATGCCTTAGCTTATTGTCATTCCGTCTCATATATGCTATTTATATTTTAGCGATAAAAATTGAATAAAAAATGTACTAAATTTAATAAAAAATGTACGTTTAAAAAATGTTCTATACCGAGAAAAAATAAAAATAACGAAAAAATATAAAATAATTATTTCATGTTGAATACTAATAATATATTTGTTTAAATTTAAATTTTTTAATTAAATAGTGTTGTAAGTAGCATTTTGAGATTAAATCGAGATCTGACCCGACTGGCGAATAAACAGGAACTATTGACATGAACGTACCCAAAGAATTGGAAGAGGAATATGATCTAATAAAACTGAAAAGGCTAGGGATCAAAGAATCTCCAAAGAATCAAGTGTCTTTAGGTTCTCCTAAATATACGTACTTGATCGCCGAGAGTGGTGAAAATAAGTCGAGCGTACTGCTCGAACCAGTCGACAAACATGGGATTAATAAAACCGCCCATCCTTTGCAGATCATTCGGCAGGTCCATTTGGAACAACGTAACCATGGGAATCATTTCGTTCGCTGCTATCTCATCAAGTACATTCTTATAGAATTGTATACCATCTTTGCTGAATTGATATAAGATGCCAGTCGGCAAAATTCTTGACCACGAAATGGAAAACTTGTACATTTGAGTCTACGAAACAAGAACCGTGAACATGTAGTTAGATAATTACTGCGATTTATTAAGAACTTTAACATATTCGTTAATAGCGCGACATATGTGTGATATGCCGGTTTCTTCTGAGAGGTCACATGTACTTGTGACAACGATAATTTTCCTTTCTCTGCTCAAATAAACAAATTACGTCTAAATTCAAGAAAATTTAGTCTCTAAACTTAAAAATTTAAATTACGTTTAAATTCAATGTTTAAAACTATATTTCTTCAAGATTAAAAGTTAATATTAAATTTATATTCAAATTATGTTTGCACTATGATGTAGATAAAAATATAGAATAGTCGCTGACAAACGATTTCCCAAGTGAACGCTAGTAGCAAACACATAATAAATGCTACAGTAAATGCCGTTTTTTATTCATGACGCATATGAAATGTATATTTTCTGTTCGCTTACGAACAGTTAGAAAATATTAAAAAATATTCATATCGAGGAGATGTAAACAGGATCTTAATGCTTACCCCGACACTTTTTGCCAAACGTATATCCTCTTTGTATTTATGATAAAAATCAGTCGCTACGTCCCAATTACTCCGGTCCTGTTGTAAACTCGGATCCGCATGAATCATGACATCCCACACAGACGGTCCTCTGTCTATACAATATATTCAGGATATATACAATATATCTAAACGCATGACAAAGTAAAAAAAAGTTCCTGATATTGACGATATTTATAAAATATTAAAGTGTATCTTCAGCTACATAGAAATGTTTATTAGCCTAAAAAGTGCATCTCTCATTTTTGTGCATCTCTTACCGCTTACATTCCATGCGCCTTCCGTCTGAGACGCAGCAGTCGAAACACCAAACAGAAAGTCCTTTGGAAAAACGTTATTATCAGAAGAGGTATCCTCCAGCGCCTTATCGGATATTCCTTTAGCTTCTATGCTTAAATAAGCGCAGAGGAGCGTTCCCAGTATTAAAATTATCGTAAACTGAGCATACATCATCGTGATACATGCGTCTGACGAAGAAAGTGTAATGTAATTATGTTATTTCCTAACAAGCACGACTAGGCTAATGAAGCCATTTTATAGCGTGTGGCACTATGAATTTAATATATTAATATTTATTGACAGATAACGTTACTTTACTATAGCTTAATTATAAGTTAAATTTAAAGTAAGGTAAAATCATCAGATCATATATGAATATTTTACGATAAGGCATCTGATTGAGGCTAATAAATTCTAATTTTCATATATTGATATGACTTTGACTATGGAATATCTTATCGTAATTGCTCACTGCAAATGGATATCGCGGAAATTTTTATGCTATGTGTTAGAATATAGTTTCACATGCACTAACACATTGTGCGTAATCGCACAAATAATCGGTAATTCGAAATTGATTAATTGTCTTTATAAGTATTCCGCGTTGGAAATACGCCATAAAATTCACCTGGTTTATGATAATCCCAAATTTTCTCTGAACAGAATCAATTAAACACGAATTAATCTTTGCGTCACACACAAGCGATTTGTATTATTATATAATGTATAAGAGCAGTTTTATCTTATTTTTGGGGAATATGCGATGAATCTTGCATTTAAGTGCAATTTTTAAATTGTAGATTTTCGGCAAATATAGGGTGCAGACAGTTTCTCTTTTCTCATAATTAGTAATACTGTTACAAGCAGTTCTAAGAAATCACTTGAATTGATATCGATGGATATCGATTTGGACAAAATGATGCATGATCCCCGGGACAACGGAAAAACAGAGAGTGAAATAGCAGAGCCGCATGCGGACTATCGAGCCGAACTGACATGTTGCGATAAAAAGCATGAGATTATGTGGATTTTTAAAACGAGTAATAGTGAGTTTGAAAATAATAGTATTAAATGTTCTTAATTTTACCAGGTGTAGAAGTATGAAATCGGAATTTTTTTGTAAAAATTACACGTCTGTTGTTTGAAAATGATAAAAAATATTTTATTCAAAATAATGTCCATTGCTATTTATACATTTTTCCCACCTCTCCGGCAGTTTATGAATGCCA